CCCAATAATTTATACTTGTCTCAGCCAAATACACTGGCCCATGCCATTCTAAAATCAGGTCCATGCGAAGTATAACCGTCTCTGAAGCCTGATTCAAGTTGTTAAAGCACACACCTGTATAAATTGCTGAAACTAATCTAGGAAAATTTGAAACGATACAATAAAATAACGAGTTTTGATTGACACCATAGGCCTTGAATCACACTTACACAGCAGCCTCTGAAGGTCCCAGACTCCCTCTTAAGCCATCCGTTTGTACAGAACACACACAACACCAAAGACGCACACAAAGACGATGTAACAGATTTTTTTTTGTTTTTTTCAGCATTTATTAATTTATTTCAACAGGAGAAAAAAAAACATCTCTTCATCCCAGAGAACAATAATCTCACCACAAAGACAAAGCTTTGCCAAAAAAAAAAAAAAACAGAAAAAAAAATAGCTTGCATTCCTGTAAACTGCAAAGCCAAAATATATTTTGCTCTAATACAAAATTTGGCTTCAATCATTTTTTACAATGTACAATAAATACATGTACAAATTAAACATAAACATTGCATCTATGGTACATTCCGTAGAAGTCATTACTGTTATCTCCCTTCCACTGAATGACACCAAACCCTGACATTGAAGTACAAGTACTATTAATCAGTTATGAATTCGTCAAGAGTACTGGAATTTCTGCAGCCAAATACAAGCCCTAAAACATGATTGCTATGCTTCAGCACAAACCCGGAATCCAGCATTTCGTTAACGATATTGAATACAAGATCTGTCACTTCATCCTTTTCATTCAGGAAGGAATAAGTTGATTTGTTTAGTTTGAATAAAGAAATATAAACAAATCATGAGTAGAAGACTTGCATCATAATTTGTTCAAAACCACCAACTGAAAACAGACTGGATTCTGGGTTCAGAAAAGTCTAACGTTCAACCATCATCAACTAGACTCCTTAAGAGGCTGTAATAAGTTACTACCACCACCATTGCCAAGATCGTCTGAGGATATTCTGGAGCTTCGCCTCTGTCTAGTTGGGGAGCACATTTGTTTAATCGGCGAGCTAGCTCTGGGGCTACCAAGAGCAACAGCATCTATGTTACTGGAAGAATTATTCCTAGATCTGGTCATTACATGGCCATCTATACTACTAGGAGAGTTGAGATCAGAACCACTGCCGCATTTACCAAAGTTTTCACTATTACGCCGAGTAATATACTGAGCGGGGCTAGCTTTCGGAGTGGTGGGTCCATTTTCTACTAATAGGCGAGTTGTTGGAGACTTGGGCAATTGAATTGATTGTTGGGTTGAATTTTTTTGCTGGGAGACACTATTGCTAGAATTATCATTAGATTTTGATTTTGCATTATTTGAGCGGGAAACTCCTGATGAGCGTCTACTACTATCCCTAGTGCTTCGTCTTTTTTGTTTATGCACCTTGTTATACGCTTCCTCCCTGCTGTACGTATACAGGATGTCGTCATCCTCCATCTCTGCTTTACGCTCTTCTTCCTCTTTCAATTTCTGTAATCTCCCCAACTCCCATTCTTTCTTTGCCGCTTCAACTTGTTCCTGCAAGGGTTAAATAAATCAGTGGCAGGACTGTCTGCAATTCTCACTACTCAGTATGCCATCTAATACAACTGATTTTATAGGAATGAAAATGGAATCACATAAATCAATTTGGGTCTGGTTGCTAACTGTTGGGGAGAGGGAGCTTCCTCACTGAAAATGGTAGATGCATGGAAATTTGGGATGACAATGCATACATTTAGTTACAACAGACCAGATCACCGGGAGGGAGGACGCAGTAAATATTCACTACGAAAAAAGACAGGCACAAGGGGTATTGATCCACATGTAAGCTTTTAATACAGTTGCTTAGACACAAGAAGCAGCCTGGCAGACTAAATGCATCTTTTCCTGCATACCTCCGGGGGTGCGGGTGATGAACAGTGTTCCAACTAAAGCACATGGCCCTATATTTCTTTAAGGTCCAGCCAAAGCAGATAAATGACAGCATTGGGCCGATGTACTAAAAAATTAAATACTCTGCTTACAAATGCCATTACCTCTGAAATTCTAACAGCAAATACAGTTTATAAATACATTACACTAACAATACATTGTATTTATGAAAGCAAAATTCATACCTCTGCAAGTTTCAACTGTTCACACGCAACTGGTTCCAGTGTAGATTCGAGGTATATCAGAGCATACCTTTCAACTGGTGTGAGCTAAAGATGAAGAAAAAACAGATTCAAGTAAATCAATCCAAATGAACTCACAAAACTGTATGTAGTTCATTGTAATTGCATCCCTATTTCAATTCAGCAGCGTATTGCTGTTACTTGTCACTATACCATGTCTCCTTTGACAGGATCCATGCAGAAAGATCAAGTCTATCCCATGGGTTTTAAAAAGGATCATTACTCTCTCCTCTTTGACGACTGCCGTGATGAAAACTTTCATAATTTCACATGGCGGTGTAAGAGGAATAATCAAAGAAAGCTTAGAAAGAACTCCCATGTGCTGAGAGTATTGGAGACACATTAAATATAATTCGAAATTACTTAGCTGAAAACTAATTATGCAAATCAGAAAATTAATATGACCAGATTTGAGTGTAAAACTAATGAGGTCTGCGCAATGTAACAGAAAATCTATGTCTCCAAGTTTAATTGAAATGTGATTAGAACCAAAAAATTATGAATTATTATGCTTATTA